TGGCCAACTCAGCCCTCCAGGGGGCGGGGCTGGCTGGCATGTGGTGCTGGGGATTGAACCGCGGTCCCTGTGCTTTTGCTTAGCTTAGCTTGTTCTAAGTAGGTGCTTTAGACCACTGAACCATCTCACCAGCCCCTGAATTTACATTTTTAGAGGATTTTTTTTTCTTTCTATTAAAAACCTAGGGAGCCAGGTGTGGTTGCACATGCTGTAGTACAAGCGCTCTGTAGGCTGAAGCACGAGAATCACTGCGAGTTCAAGACTAGCCAGGGCTGCATAGTGAGTTTAAGACCAGCCTGAGTTACAGGGCAAGACCTTGTCTCAAAAAGCAAAAAGAAAAAGAAGAAGAAAAAAAAAAAAAACCAAGGGTGGGGGGAGGTAATATATGTAATGAATGAAAAATTAGATATAAAGTTGTAAGAGAAAGTTATCAAAAGTCACATCTAGGGTTGGCCAGATAGCTCAGTGGACTACAGCACCTGCTTAGGCAGAGCACAGGGACCTGGGTTCTATCCCCAGCACCACATGCCATGCCAGCCCTGCCCCTGGGGCATGCTGAGACTGGGCATAGTGGCACACCCCTATAATCCCAGGGCTTGGGAGACTGAAAACGGGAGGATCGCTGTAAGTCCGATCTCTGTAGTGAGCCCTACTGTAGATCCTGTACTAAATACATAAAAAGTCACATCTGTATATCTGACTTGCACATGTCAGAGGATGATGGTCCTACTCACTGAAGGGAACGATTGGAGGAGGACAGTTTGAGAAAAAAAGATGAATTTCTTTTTGAACATACTGAATTTCAGCCAGGTGTGGTAGCATATGCCTGTAATCCCAGCACTCAGAAAGCTGAAGCAGGAGGATCTCTGCAAGTTTGAGGCTAGCATGGGCTACAAAGTGAGTTCATCAAGGACAGCCTGAACTGCATAGCAAAACCCTGTTTCAAAAACAGAAGTTGAACATACTGAATTTCAGATGACATCATCCCTGACTTACACTTCTGGTAGCTCATCAGCCTCCTGAACCATTCTAAATTATAGATATCTTTGGGATGAAGAGATACCTTATCTCAGGTTTGCTAATTTCCTGTCATCATGGGATTTCTAGCTGTACTGTTGGTTTGTTTGGCAGGGAAAGGTAAAAGGAGAAGATCATCAGATGAAGATGCTGCTGGTGAGCCCAAGGCCAAGAGACCAAAGCGCCCCATGGATAGCAAAGAGGTAATGGGGCTTCGCAATTAGGAATCTTCCACTGAAGCAGGCCAGAAAGAACACCCAGATAACAGCACCAAGGGAACTTACAGGTTCTTGTGCTAAGAAAAAGTAGGATTATAAACTTCATTAAATAGTGTCCAGGACCAGACCAGTGAGGAGTAAACTCCATAGCTGTCTCCCTTCTGAGGTAGCAGATCATGAAAAAGAAGGCCTGGAAAAGTTTAAATCATTGCCAGTAATAAGAAATAAGTCTAGAAAGATACACTTATGCCTCATAAGCTTCTTCATCCTAATGAAGGATGCCACCACCTAGGAAATCATATCACTTGCTTACATCAAAATTCTTGCAACTCTCCAATCTCACAGTACTACCCATCAGCCTAATTTATCTCAAATCTAACCATTTCTCACCTTTTCTAAGGCTATCTCCTTAGTCTAAAAGCATTCTCATCCCTTGTCTTTTTTTTTTTTTTTTTCAATCCCCGGAATCGGGGATTGAACTCAGGCCCCCGTGCTTGCCAGGGAAGCGCTTCTTCTACTGAGCCATCTCCCTGGCCCCAGCATTCTCATCTCTTGTCCACCAACACCATTTCCCCTTACCCACTTAAGCAGCCAAGATCTCTTTGTAGTTGTGTAGTAAAAGGAAAAAACAACACAAACAAAAAAAGTCATTTGGGCAAAGGAAGTAGATCAGTGGAGTGGCAGAATGCTTGCTTAACATGCGTGAGACAATGATTTTGATTCCCCAGCACTGACAAAACAATAAAAGCTATTAATTAGATTTTTTAATAGCTTCCTGTACTCTTAGAAGAAATCTAAGCTATGGATTATTGAGCCCTTCATGATCTAGGTCCATGATGGCAGGCTTTTTAGAGACAAGTGTCCAAACCACAACCTCAAAACCACTTATTTATAGCAAAGTGCCAACATTACTATTAAACTTGAATACTGAAGTTATAGTTTAGAAAAAAATGACTCATTACCTTTTGTCTTAAAAGAAAAACAATGCATTCCATATGTTCACCACCAATGGTCTAGGATGTTACGTGGTCTGCTGACATAAACCAACTCTTCTATTGTCCCTCTTGCTATGTTTTATCGACTGTTTTTCTTTCTGTCTCAAAAATGTCAGGATTTTGCCTTTACAATGCCTTCTACTTTAAATGCTTTTCTCATACTTTAATATAGTTGCCTCTTTGATCATTCAGCTCTACTAACGCTAAAGGTTAGAGCTCAAACACAATTGCCCACTTACTTGAATCTCCACATTTCCCATAGCTGAAACTTTTTATATGTGTTTATTGTGCTTCCAGTTAAACTTGAGGGCAGCATCCTTTCTTGCCACCTGGAGCTAGCAGGATCTCAGCAAATATTCTGTTCTCTTTCTTTTCTTTCTTTCCTTCCTTCCCTTCCATCCCTTCCATCCTTCCCTCTCTCCCTTCCTCCCTGCCTGCCTCCTTCCTTCCTTCCTTCCTTCCTTCCTTCCTTCCTTCCTTCCTTCCTTCCTTCCTTCCTGTTTGTACAGCAAGGTCTAACTTTGTAACCCAAGCTTGCCTCATACTCACAATACTCCTGCTTCATCCTAGGCACTGGGATTACAGGTATCCACACCGTGTCGAGCTTCAGCAAATATTTCTCAGTTGACTTAAGTGGTTTGGATTTCATCCTGAAGGCAGTGGGGTGCTATGAACTGATTTTAAGCAACAGTGTGAAGTGACTGGATTTATACTTAGAAAGATTACAAGATTAATTTCAGAAAATATAGTCATTCTTTTTATAGTATCTATTTAAAACAAAAGTAAAAACCAATTGAAATACTATTGTTGTAACCAATTAAACCATGATTAGAACCTAAAATAATAAGATAAAGAACAGCATAGCTGGGTATGATTGTATACTCCTGTAATCCCAGCACTTAGAAACGTTTGAGATTGAGGTCAGTCTGGACTATATAAGAGACCATCTCAAAAAAAAGAAAAAGACATCTCTGAGGTGACAGATACCTTGATCGACTATTACACGTATTGGGGCCAGGGAGATGACTCAGTGGAATAAGCGCTTCACTGGCAAGCACAAAGGCCTGAGTTCAATCCCCGGTTCTGAAAAAAAAAAAAAAAAAAGGACTATTACATGTATTATGTATTAAAACATCACACTGTAGCTTGAAAAACTGGCTTTTCATATTCCAGAGACTAAAATGAGACCCACGTGTATCACCATGCATGCACTAAAGTCAAAATGGATCAAATATCTTAATATTAGGGGCTGGGGAGATGGCTCAGTAGAATATGCACTTCTACTGAGGGTTAAAAGAGAATTCCAGAATAAAAAACTTAAGTAAGACAAGAAAGGCTGATAAAGAGAAACTGAAGATTTAGAGGACAAGAAGAAAAATTGAGCTGGATCTCTTGAGAATGAAAAGGGAAGATTTAGAATAACAATGTGGACACTGAGTTTAGGGGAAAAAATGGAGAACCATTTTTTCCACCATAATAAAAGTGTGTAAAAGTACAAATAGAAGTAGAGAATATATGTATGCACAAAGTTGAATGAACTCAAGCCTAATGAGTTCTGCCCTGTCTTCTATTTTCTTTTTGAAATCAGGCACCTACATCTGCTGAAAGTAAAAAGGAAAGGGTCAAGTAGGAGACTTGAGGGTAATAGGTAACAGGTAAAATAGAGAAAGCTTGGAGGTGAGTTTAGAAAAACTGTTTGAAAGTGGAATTTATCAAGATACTAATCAATGAGTGAATGATCTTTTTCCCCAACCAATTGAGTTGGTACTGCATAAGAAATGGTAAACAGTTAAATCCAGGCTCCTTACCAGAAAACCCTGTACTGTATTGAAGTGTTCCTAATACTTTTCTCTTCCTTCAGCCCATTCCAGATGATGGTATTTATTGGCAGGCAAACCTTGACAGGTTCCACCAACACTTCCGTGACCAAGCCATTGTGAGTGCAGTTGCAAATAGAATGGACCAGGTAATATTTCAGTGGATTTGTCAGTGAGCATTAAGAAATGAAAGATACTCAGTTTGTTGCCAGTGTCGCTATTAGCCATTGGCATAAGCTGAGAACAACACAGTGAACTCTGAATTCCTGTTTACTTTTCAACCCCAGACAAGCAGCGAGATCATGCGGGCCATGCTTCGGATGAGTGAGGTTACCACTTCCTCTGATGCCCCCTTCACTCAGCCATTATCTTCCAATGAGGTGAGTTTCATGTTGATATGCTAGCTTTCTGACACATTTATGGGTATTACAACAATTTATATAGCAAGCCTGCCTTAGGTGGAAGCCTAAGCCTTGAGAGAAAGGAGTTTTGTTGTTTATGGTGGGGCAAGGATTATCTTCAAGTAGTAAGCACTGAAATATTCTGTTTCTTAGGATCCAGCTTTTAAAAGCCTATACCAGGGCTGGGGAGATGCTCAGCAGTCTAAGTGCCTACCTGGCAAGCATAAGCTCCTGAGTTCAATCCCCAGTACCACATGCCATGCCAACCCCAAAACCAGGCATGATGGCGCACACCTATAATCCCAGCGCTGGGGAGAGTGAGACGGATCACTGTGAGTCTAAACTATGTGATGAGACCCTGTATCAAAAAAAATTTTTTTAAAGATTTAAGGGCCAGGGACATAGTTCAGTGGCATAAGTGCCTGACTGGCATACACAAGGTCCCAAGTTCAATCCCCAATACCAGAAAAAAAAAAAAAAAAGACTGAAACCCTGTATCATTATTTGGATGCAGGAGTTCAAACCTCTGATCACAACACTCTGGGAACAAACGACTAGAGAATTGCAGGTTCAAACCCAGCCTGGGGGCCAGGGAGATAGCTCAGTAGAATAAGTGCTTGCCTGGCAAGCAAGGGTCCTGAGTTCAATCCCGGTACTGTAAAAAAAAAAGAAAGAAAGAAAGAAAATTTTAAAAAAGAAAAATTCAAATCCAGCCTACACAACTGAGACCCTATCCCAGAAATCAAAAGAGGGCTGGTAATGTGGCTCAGTGCAGAGGATCTGGGTTCACTCTCTAGTACCACTAAAAAAAGATGTGTAAAGATATATGTGTGTGTGTGTGTGTGTGTGGTTGTACTGTTTTAAAAGTTTTTTGTTTTGTTTTAGATAGGGTTATCCTATGTAGTTCAGACTGGCCTTGAACTCGCCATGTAGCCTAGGCTGACCTCAAAGTCACAGCAATCCTGCCTCAGCCTCTCAAGTGCTGGGGTTACAGGCACGTACCACCACACCTGGCCTAAATACTTTTAACTTATTATGTAAAAAAGGTAAATACAATTTTTTTAATCACTATATCATATTTCACTTAATGGCCAGGCTATAGTTTAATTCCTTATCACTGGTCATTTAGATTATTTTTTTACATTTAAAAACAATGCTAGTATAAATACTTTTGGACTTTTTATATTCATAGTGTCTAAAATTAAAATGACTAGCTGGGCATAGGGACGCATGCCTGTAATCTTAGTCCTTGGAAGGTTGAGGCAGGAGGATCAGGGTGAATTCAACCTCAACCTGGGAAGGTCAGTCTGAACTGCATAGTGAGACTCTCTCAAAACAACAGAAATGTTTTTAAAGTAAAATTAAAATATCTTCTCTGCATGGTGGTGTACTCCTGAGATCCCAGGTATTTTGGAGGCAGAGTCAGATGGATTCCAAATTCAAAGCCAGTTGGGGCAACTTAGTGAGACCTTACTTCTTTTTTTTTTTAATGTATTTGGTAAAGGGTCTCACTACCCAGCTCAGCCTTGTAGTGATCCTCCTGTTTCAGCCTCCCCAGTGCTGTAATTAGCAGGCATGCACCACCACGCCTGGAGACCTTGCTTTTAAAAAGAACTAGAGATGATGTAGCGGTAGCTCAGTAGCAAAACACTTGCCTACCATATGTGAGACTCTGGCTTCAATTCCCATTACTAACAAAAAGAATTATTTTTAATAAAACCAGCAATTCTAATTCCCAAAAACCACTTTCTATATCTGCTTTTGCTTCATAGATCTTCAGATCCCTGCCTGTTGGCTATAACATCTCTAAGCAAGTCCTCGACCAGTATCTCACACTACTTGCAGATGACCCAGTAAGTCTGTCTCAGTGGGGTTTTTTCCCTGCTGTTTATATTTGACTTCTGCCAAATGTCAGTCTCCCACAGCCTCACTATCTACCAAGCTAGTTCAGTTCCTTGCCATCATCTGATCAGAGGGTTACATGCTGCAGACACTTGTCAGATTGGAAACAGAATCACTGAACGTTTCATTCAGTTAATTCTCTCTCTCTCTTTTTAATAGCTAGAGTTTGTTGGAAAGTCTGGCGACAGCGGTGGAGGAATGTACATCATCAGTATCCTTTTACTTGTTCTGACTGTATCCTTGCAGTCAAGCAGCCTGGGCCACATAGCAGAATGGTGTCTTAGGAAATAAAGATTTGGTAATAATATACTAAATCATAATTTATTTTTGATTTTTGATTTTTTGTATTTAATGCAAGGTCTACAGGGTCTTATTACACAGATCGCACTCGTAGTGATTCTCCTGTTTTCAGCTTCCATGCACTGGGCTTACAGGCGCACACCACCAAGCCCAGTCTCAATCGCCCATCTCTGCGCGCCACAGGGGCAGGATTGGCCCAGCAGGCCAGGGAACAAACCTCTGACCCCTGCATCTGCCTCAGCAGGCGCTTTAATCTGCTGAACTATCTGGCCGGCCCATAAATCACAATATTGAAGAAATTCCCTTTTATTGTTTCTGTGAATCTTCAATAAATTGCATTAAAGGTAAAGAAATAAAGACTTAACTAGAAATAGTTTTACTTAATCATCCTCACTAAAATTTTAAGATACTTTATGTACCATAAATTAATATGAAAATGAAATAATATTTAAATTTTAATGAGAAATTAGGAATTTAAGAATAAAACTAAGGTCAGAGCAGACAGGCCAAAATTACTAAATGACCTTAACCCTCTACATAAAGACTTCTGTAAGGCATTAGCATCGCTAGCCATAGCCACTCTAGAGTCTGTCATACAGGAGAGGTAAGGGGGTCATTGTATTGGGATTAGAGTTAGATGCTTCCTATCCTCATCCCATTTGATCCCTATGTAAGCAGCCAATACAGGCACACTGTGGCACACCTTGCCCCATTTTTCCGCTGCACAGCTGTGGATAGCATCTGCTACTCTTCGCTCTTAAAAAATTCTACTGCTCAATTTCCAATGATGCAAATTAGCATAAAACTTTGTACTGCAAGAACTGTGGCATTCAAGTGAGTTAGCAGTTAATGACTGCCTTAATAATACTGCACCAGTTGTATTCAAGAGTTTTCTGGTTACTGTTCCTTTTTTTTTGTTGTTGTTGGGTTTTTTTGGCCAAACCAGGGATTGAACTCAGGCCCTTGCACTTGCCAGGGAAGCACTTACTCCACTGAGCTGTCTCCCCGGCTACTGTTCCTTTCTGACCCTGGCTCCACACATGGACAACCTTCCTCTGGGACTAAGAGCCAAAGCTAGTCCATGTGGGCATGCCATTGTCTCCATTGCTTTCCAGATTTGGATCTCGGTGTGCCAGAATATTCCGTCTGGTTTTGCAAAAGAAACACCTAGAGCAGAAGCAAGTGGAAGACTTCGCAATGATTCCTGCAAAGGAGGCAAAAGATATGCTATATAAGATGCTTTCAGAAAATTTCATATCACTTCAGGTAACCAATGGTGTATAGTTGCCAACCAGCAAAACTATAGAGAGACGCTCCTCAGCAGTTAGCCTCAGTCCTCAGGCAAACTCTGTAGCTGTGAGATGGAAAAAATAATTAACAAGTGCTTGAGGGGAAATGTGGAGCTTTAACTGGCACATAAAGAACAGAGACAGCCAACAAATAGTCTCAGGGCCATCCTGCCCCTTCTTCCCTATCATCCTGTCCCTTCCTGAAGATCTTAAAATTTGTACCATCAGGGCCAGGGAAATAGCTCAGCAGCAAAAGTGCCTGCCTGGCAAACTCAAGGTCCTGAGTTTGGGTCTCAGTACCTTAAAAAAAAAAAAAAAGAAAAGAAATTGTACCATCTATTAATAGCACTTGCTGTGTCCTAGCAGCTCCACATAGTAGGTAAGCACTGGAAGGAAGAAAGTGGAATGGATGATAGAGTCAGAGCATAGCCTCTATCTAGTTACACTGAGCAAGTTATTTTCTCTATGTATAAAATGATGATAGGCCTGGACATGTTGGTGCATACCTGTAATCCTAGCACTTGGGAGACTGAGGCAGGAGGATTCCTGTGAGTTTAAGGCCACTCTGGGCTACATAAGTGAGTTTAAAGCCATACTGCACAATGAGAACCTGTCTCAAAAAACAAAAACGATAATACATGGTGGTAATAATATACTGTAATTTGTTGTAACAGTCAAATACAAACCATGTGTCACATAAGAGTTTTCTCACTAAATAGTAGTCACCTATGATGGCAAGGAAACTGAACTAGCTTGGTAGATAGGCTATGGGAGACTGACATTAGGCAGAAGTCAATTATAAACAGGGAAAAACCCGCATTGAGACACTTAATGGGTCATCACCTTCCCCTTCTTTTCACTCCAGATGCTGATAGCTAAGTGGGGAAAAAAGGGCAGCCCATCCTATCTAGTTAATTATGCCTTAAATCCAACAACTGAATGACTAGAGAAACTATTTGTGAAAGAAAGGGCTGCGTACCTCTGAATGTGGTGAAGATTTATTTTGCCAGTTCTAAAGAGCATTGAAATTTCTCTTTCTTTTCTTTTTATGGAAAATAGGAAATTCCAAAAACACCAGACCATGCCCCGTCCCGGACCTTCTATTTATATACTGTGAATGTCCTATCAGCTGTGCGAATGTTGCTGCACAGGTGCTACAAGGTAACCCACGCAGACCCTCTCCCCATTGCCTCCACACAGGGCCCTTCCCCGCATGCTTCCTCTGCCCATTTTACCTGAGCTGCTGAAATACAGCTGTGTGCATTTCTAGTCTTCTCTTTCCTCAGAGCGTAAGCAACTTGATAGAAAGGCGGCAATTTGAAACCAAAGAAAACAAGTGAGTAGCATGTCAGATTTTTCAAGGTTCAGGGTCTGAGGGGAAATTTTCTATAGCAGTGAAGACAGTATCCTCCAGAGTGCTGTGACTACAGGTGTGTACCACCACACCTAGGTCCCTGCAGACAGCATCCTAATGTTCCACTGAGTTATCTCCAGTTGGTGTAAATCATGCATTAATCTGTACTTTTCCAGTATACCGCAATGAAATAATTTTGTGGATTAAATTTTTGAAAAAGTACAAACACTTCAAACTCAGGATTGTTATATTCCCAATTAAATTTATGGAAAATGCCTTTAGACAATTATATGATCCACCTCAACCAAAAGTATGGTAATAGGGGAACTTGTGTCCTAGATAAAGGGTAACAGGATCTTAAAATTAGGGAACATGCCTTAAAGTTGGTTTGTCTGATAGGCGTCTACTTGAAAAGTCTCAGCGGGTAGAAGCCATCATTGCATCTGTGCAGGCCACAGGTGCGGAGGAAGCACAGCTGCAGGAAATAGAGGAGATGATCACGGCCCCTGAGCGTCAGCAGCTGGAGACTCTGAAGCGCAATGTCAACAAGTAAGCCTGGTTTGAGCCCTGCATTTGAAAATACCTTCCAGCCAAGTCCATCGCAACATTCTGCAACCCTTCCAAACTGTCTTTCCCAGTTTGCTTAAAGAATTTAATCCACCTATTTTTCTTCTTTTTCCACCTATTTTTCCAACAATTCTGAAGGCATCCTCAGCTTCTCTGCACTGTTACTGCTTTCACCAGCATTCTAAATTGTACTTCTGTCTCAAGTTCAGCCTTCCATGTTGGCCTCCATACAGGACTTCATCGCATTTCCACACCTTCACAGTGACGCCCTGCACCATCTCAGAATGCCTGTGACACTGTTATCTTTAAAATGACTGGTAACGTCACTCCGTTACTTCAGATAACTTACTGATTCCTTACATGTACAGCATAGAGACCAGACTCACTGGAATGACAGCCACCCATCCCAGTCGCCTGGCAGCCTGTCTCCACCTTCATTTCCTTGCATTCTTCACCCCTCGCCTTAAGGGGATTGCGTTGCATCTGTCGAGTGCTTTGGAGAACACTGCCAACTTTTTAACAATCTTCCTACCTGCAAATAAGAGAGGTCTTTCCATTTATTTAGGTCTTTAATTTCTTTCAGCAATATTTTACTGCTTTCTTGTACTAGCCTTGCAACTTTTTTGTTAAGTTTATTTTTTTTAATGAGTTTTCTTATTTCATTTTTAGGTGACACATTGTTAGTGTGCTGAAAAACAGATGTTTTTGTATTTTGATTTTATATCCTGCAACTTTGCTTATTTGTTTATTCTAGGAGTTTCTGGGAAGTTCTTTGTAATTGTGTCATCATTAAGCAGAAAAAGCTTTACAACTTTGCAATCTAGATTTATTTTCCAGAATGGCCTAGGGACAACCTCCAGTATAAAGCTGAGTGGAAAAAGCAGACAGCCTTGTCTCACAAAAGCTTTCAGTCTTTCACCATCAAGCCTGATGTTAGCTGCGTTTTGGTTTTTTTTTGTTTTT